GGGGCCCCGCCCGCAGGGAGGAGGGGCGGGGAGGGGGGGACGGAGCCGGGCGGGGGCACCTTGATGAGCCGCTCCATGTCAGCCTCCAGGTTGGCGATGGCCATCCTCTGCATGACGATGTCGACAATCCTCCGCTCCAGCGACTGCCACTTGAGCCTGGCGGCCTTACTGAAGCTCTGGCTGGCCCCCTTCTTCTGGAACTTCTTTCTGGGGGGGGGCAGAGGCAAAGGGGCGGGGTCAGGACCACCCTCAGCCCCTGAAGCTGCGTGGAGACCCCGACCCAGAGCCGACGGCCGAGGGGACCCTGGCGCTTGCCCCTCCCGCAGGTGCTCCCGGCCGCCTCACCTGGCAGGGCGGGCGCCAGACACGGTGGGCATGGGGTGGTTCTCCAAGAAGTGGCTGATCTTGTGGTCCCACTGGCGCACGATGCTGGAGACGGAGCGCGCCCCCGATTCGGCCTCGGACGAGGTGGTGCTGGCCGACACCTCGGCGCCCGAGTCCAGCATGGGTGGCTTTGGTCCCACTCGGCCCGCCACACGCTCGGACATGGGCTTGGCCAGACGCCTCAGCGCAGAAACCTGGGAGCCCAGAGGAGCGGGACCCAGTGGACAGGGTGCCCCCAGCCCGCGGAAAGGCCCAGGTTGGGGCGCGGGGCAAGGAGAATACAGGGCCGCTCCGTCCTGGCCTGGGTTTGGGACTGACAAAGGTCCAAAGGATCTCCAACGTGAATTGGACACAGAAGAGGCTCCCCGTCCTTTTTAAAAGTTAACCACTGCGGCAGGCATCTGGACCAGAGCCTGCAGCCCACCCCCAGCCTCAGCACTCTAGCTGAGAAAGGCCCTCCCACGGGGGCCACCCCAAGTCAGCACGTGGCCAGGGGGAGCCGGAGCCACAGAGGGGCTGCTCTCAGAAACAGGGGGGCAGGGCAGGGGCTGCGGGGGAGGGGCCGGGCTCACCTCCTGGGTTTTCCTCCTCAGGACCATTTCTTGCTGCCGCTTCTGGGACTCCAGAGCTCGGATCTGAAACTGCGGGTGAGAGGAGAGGGTGGGGTCTACACTTGGGCCCTAAGCCCGTTCCACCCGGGCTGGCCCTGGAGGTGAGCGCCTTGTGCAGCTAAAACTCGCCGGTAAAGGGGACCCAGCGTTTGGGTCCCTTTCTCCACGAGGACACGTCTCTCGGCCCCTCTCCCCACCACGGGCAAGGAGGCTGGGGCAGAGGGCTGGAAGCTGTTGGTGACCTGGGCAGGGTCCTACCCGGCGGTGGGCTCGAGGCCTGGCTCGGAAGCCCACAAGGGCCGGGCTGGGCTCCTGCGGCCGTCCCGCCCTCCCGCGTAGGGCCGCGCCTCTCCTCGAAGCGCCACCGTCACCGCTTAGGCCCGTGTGGCCAGGAGGGGCGGCCAGGCATGCAGGGGGCCGGGGGACCGGGGAAGCTCGAGGTGCCCTCACCTCCTGCCGCCGCTGCTCCTTCTTGAGCTGTGCGATCTCCCGGTTCCTCTTGGTCTCCGCCAGCCGCCGCCGGTGCTGCTCTTCCCGCATCTGCTTCATCAGGGCCACCTGGGACGGGGCGGGGGGGCGGGGGGGGGTGGTGAGGGGAGGCCCGAGGCCTGCGTGGAGGGGCTGGCTCGGAGAATGACAGGCAGGGGTGGAAGCCACCAGGTGGCAGTGCCTCAGGGGGTCTGGCCCCACCTTGTCCACAGGAGTCGAAGGTGTCCCACCACCTGGGCAACCTACCGAAAGGAGCGGCCTTACTGCCGGCCCAGCCGTGCAGGTGGGACCACCCTGCAGGGTCCAGCCACGGCCCCCAGTGCTCTGCTCACAGCCCCTGGTGGTCCTCACGCAGAGCCACTGCCAGGGCCCAGACGTTCTGGGACCAGCCTAAGTTGCTAGAGGCAAGTGGTCCTGCCTGGATGGAGCAGCGTTCTCTCTCCCACCCGCAGCTGAGCTGCTGACGGGGCGCGTTCCCAGGCCAGGTTCTCACGGTGACGACGATAAAAACCAGCATCATTTACTGAGCCCACACTACATGCCCAGCCCCGTCCTCACGATAATCAAACGCGACAGGCGTTACCACTCCTATTTTATAAATAATAAACGAGCCTCAGAGAGACAAAATGACTTAAAGTCAGAAAATCAGTAACGGGTGGCCAGACTTCCGGCCCAGGTCGCTTTGCTTCAAAATCCAGCTCTTACCATGGCCGTGGGGATGGCACCAGGCAAGGTCAGAGCAGAGCTGGCGACCAAGCAGAGCCTGGAGCCGAGTTCTCGGAGGGCCGGCCAAAGGCTCAGAGAGCATCATCTGGGAGGCCAGAGGTGACCCGGCACAATGGGGAGCCGTGCGCTGGGTCCTTGTATCATCCACTCCCCTGGCCCCAGAGCACCGAGTGCAAAGTGCACAGGGGTCAGACTCCTTCCATGTGACGGCGCCATGAGAATCAGGTGCGGGCTGTCCCTCCTCTGCCACTGAGGCCTCAGACACACCAAGAATGTCACCAGCCTGCCCTGAGGACAGTTAAGAGAGGAAATGGCCCGGGAGGGAGGCTGGAAGGACTGCGCTGGCTTCTGCCTCAGAAGGCAGGCTGTGTCAGGGGGAAGCTACAGAGACGAGGAAGGCTCCCTGCTGCTGGGCCTTTGGGGGTCCAGAACAAATGCTCCCCCAAAGGGCTGGGGCTGACAAGAGAAGCCAAGCCTGGGCTGGAAGCGGACCCAAGCGCCACCCACAGGGAGCTGCATGCACACTGGGACGGCCGCCCTCATATGGAGCCGGGGCCAGAGCCTTCCCGGGGAGGAACGTGTCTTTCTGGACAAAGGTCCATCTGTCCAACTCTGCCTGTGTGGCCGAGTCCCAGGGAGGTCATCACAGGGGCGGTGGTCTCAGAACGGGTGGGAACATTCCAGGCATGTGACAGCACAGCACCCGAGGCCAGCACTGCTCTGAGTGTCTCCTCTCCTTAGGACACCTCTGTAAACCGCAGGGCCTGCCCCTGAACTGTGATGGCAGGGTCTTGGGCACTGGCTCTTGCGGCATCTGGTTAGAATCCTTGACGGCTGCCCTCGGTGCTTCTGACAGGAACCCTGGGCCCCTGCTGGGCACCCTGGGACAGCCCAAGGGTGCTCTTTTCAGCCTCTTTCCTAGGCTCACGGAAGCACAGTTAGCCGGGCAGAGCGGGGCCCGCAGCTGAAGGGCTGAGCAAGCTGAGATTGAAACCCGGGAACACGCAGGGACCGTCTGTCCTTCACACAGGTCCTTGGCATTATTATATTATTTTTTCAGGCTGCAGAGCCATAGAAGGGTCCTCCCTCATTGGGATCTACAGTAGGGTCACCTCCTGCTGAGATGACGGCCGGCCGGCACCAGCCAGGACCGCCTCGAGAGGTGTTAGCCAGGGAGCCTCCAGGGAGACAGAGTTAGAACGCAGGCAGAGCCCCCAGAACGCTCCAGGAGCGGCAGAGTGTGCAGTGCAGCCCCCAAATGGGGACAACCAAGGCCCTGGTCCCTCCCTCCTACCACCAGAGGGCGCCCGCTGACCCAAGTCCCCCTCTTCCTCCTGCAGCCCGGATCAGCATCTGCTGGTGGAGGTCCCAGGGGCAAACCGGCTCCCTGGGGCCAGTGCAGGATGGACAGTCTGAGCAAAGCGAGACTGGCCCTTCTCCACCCTGGACAGGCTGATGGGCCCTGGATGTGTGGCCCAGGCGTGGCTGGGGACAAAGCCTGCCCAGGGGAGGTGGCTAGCCTGATGGCTGAGGGTCCACCTGTCAGAATCTGCATCTTCACAGCATCACCTCTCTCCGCTGCACACTGGTCAACGCCAGCCCAGTCGGGCGGTGAGGACGCGGTTACTACGGCACCGGGTGGTCCCCTCTGTGGGACCTGTTCCCAAGGCCAGCTGTCTGCAGCTCGCTGGGGTCCTGTCCCAGGGCCTGGCGCAAGGCTGCGGGGAGCTGGGGTACACGGGGGCTGGGGCCAGGGCAGAAACGCGGACCAGGCAGCCGAGGGGATGGAGGACACAAAGGCAGCACGGATCTGCGGGCCCAGGCGGGAATGAGGACCCAGCCGGACGGGGAGGCATTAGAGACAGGAGCCAGACTCGAGCGCCCTGGCCGACGGCAACTGGAAAAGGGTGGCGGCAGAGGACTGAGTCTGTATCCCAGCGCTGCCCCAGGAGGCGGGAGTCACTCTCTGAGGAAGTGGCAGTGACACCTGAGCTGCACCTCGGGACTGAATGCGGTCGTGGTGCCGGGGGACTGGCGGAGAGCCACATCCAATGTCACTACGTAATTACTATTATTATGAGTGTAGGCAAATGTGGCACAGGTGGGAGGCCTCACGTGCACTGCGTGTGGACTGGAGCCCACGGTGGTGGGGCGGGGTCCCTGGGGACCCTCTCCTGCCCCCCCCCCCCCC